TATCGCAATTGATTTTTATTCATTTGACTGAAAAGAAAATTGAACTGAAATTTAAAACTCGAAAGTTTTTCCACTTTGTGGAGGTTGACAAAAAAATTCTAGAATACTTGGTTATTATCTTTGAAACCTCAGTGTGGGGAGCGATTGTTTCTGCTGTTCCAACTTTTGAAGAAAAATGATGATCAATTTTTGCTCGGAGTGGCTTTTTAATCAAATCAAATTCTCAAGAGTTTATTGTTGAATCAATGAGTCGATCCGTGGGATATTTGTCGTGGATCCAGCTGGATGTACACGCCACTATATTATTTCAAAAAATTCAAAGCGAAACAGTTACGCCCCGAATGTTATCCCGCACCACAAAAATCGTTTTGTGGGCTGAATTGAGGGCTAACAAAACTAATTGGTCCTTCCACGCTCGGCGCAAAAACTAAGCACATAAAAAATTATTTTTATCAAGCTAAATATTATAGTTTTCTCAATGTTTTCTTTTTCCCAAACACTAATTGGGGGCCAGTATAGGAGCAGTCCTTTTTTCTGTCATAGGACTTTTAAAAAAGGGCGTTTTTGGTCAAAATTTAAGAATAATTTGAAATTGGTTTTTAACATTTTTTCAATGTTGCTCATCACGTAATTGCGAATTATGTCAGCGCAGCGGACTTTTTCTGTAATCAAAATTTAGTCCCACAGAATATTGAAGCAGAACACGAAACATAGCGCTAAGTTTTTTGATATTGGTCGGGGAAGCAAATAAGTTTACTTAAGCTTTTATAAATTATGGATTCATGATTAGTTATCTGAGGCAAAATACAGAGCACTCACAAGATTCAAAGTCCTTGCCCGAAAAAATTCGTCTTATTTTTTTGAGAAGACTTGTTACTTTTTAAGCCGTGCTCAATTCTTTTTGTTCTCAGTATTTGGAAGAAAGCTAGTTGGTAATTGATTTAAAAGAAAGATCGTTTAACTAAATTCATTTTTTCTCAATAAGCTTCTTCTTTTATTTCAATAAAAAAGTTGTATTCTTGTACTTTTTAACCCGTGTCGATGATTTCTAACCCGTGTCGAAGATATTAGATATAAACGAGAGTTTCAGCAAAAATTAGTTGTAAATCAAAATGATCGCAAAAAAAATATTTTTTTTATCCTCAAGAAATTTTTCTCCATATAACATGTAAACCCAAAAAAACCTTGTGTTTCTTAGGATCGAACGAGCACAGTAAGATATTCAAATTCATTTAGATGAGAAGCATAATTGTCGTACAAATATTTTTTGTTTTTGAGCGATGTGTTTGTTTTTGAGCAATGTTATAATAATTGAGGTTTCTGCGATTCGTAGAAGATCCATGAAAACCCGGGTTGACCTCCATAGACCGAAAATGCTAATCATACAATTTCATACACTTAGTCTATGGAAAAATGCTAGTCAAACAAATTTCATACATTTTTGCAAAATGAGTTTAGTCGAATTTCAAAGGTATTTTATAGTTGTTTTGGTATCGAAATTGAAAAAAGGAAAAAAATTGGTATGAAAAAAAATTCTTTTTGTTTTCTGAAAAAAATTTATTTTTGTTTTCTGAAAAAAAAACACTAGTCATACAATTTCCATATATAGAAATTGTATGACTAGCATTTTTTTGATGGCGACGACAAAAATTTTGAAATTGCCCCCAAAAATTTTTTGTGTTTTTTTTTCCAACCGCAAATTGATTTTCGTATTCAAACAAACATTTTTTGAAAAAAAAAATTTGCATGCAAAATTTAATTTTTTGTATGTATAAAGTAGTCCTGGATATACTAATATTGGATTTTTTTTCCTTTTCTCTTCATAACTTTTTTCAAAAACGCTTTAAACTCCTCTTTCTTTTGTATGACATGTTTTTGTATGCCTAGATCAATGTCTGGTAAAGTAAAAATTCAAATTTTAGAAATAATCATCTTTGAAAATTATTGCCAAAATTTAAAAGTTCATTACTTTCGTTATATTAATTGTCTGAGATATTTCAGGCTGTTTCCAATGCATTTTTAATGCGAGACGGCCAAACCGTTGGTTACTACGTTTGAGTAATCAAGGTTTATGTCATTTGTGTTCGGTTACGAACACAACCAAAAAGTTTTGAGAAATTAAAATGTAAAAAATCAATATTTTTGGTTTATGGAAAAATGCTAGTCATACAATTTCCATATATGAAAAAAATACTAATCATAGACCTTTCATGCAATTTTCTGTACGTATGGAACTGTATGGAAAGTGCATGACTAGCATTTTTCCATATATGGAAATTGTATGACTAGTATTTTTGGTCATCCCGGAAAGCTAGCAGGTCTGTCTAAGCTTGGTCAGTTTTTTTCCACACTTCAGACTGAGTTATTTTGAGCGAAGCTCTTTTTCGCAAATCAACGCCGTTTTTTGCGTCTAAAATTTTCAGGTAGTAACTCTTTTGCAGTCGGAATTTGTCAGGCTGTGTGAGTAAGAGTTTGACCTAACGTTTTATCACTGCCATGGCAGGGGATCAAATACAGACTCTGACAATTTCGCAGTGAATGCCCTACTTCTATGCTAAGTGCCTCATCCTCTGCCATTTCGCACTCATTCAAAATTTATGCAAGCTAGAAAAAAAAAAGCTTATCGCCCAACTTCTAATATCCGTATGTATTGTATGCATTACATTTTTAGGTAAAAAGGAAAGTACAGAAAAAAATTTTTATCAAGCAATTTTTGTGATACGATTTGACAGGAGTTGTTTTTAATATGAAGAACTGACAGATATGATCAATTGAAAAGAGCTCCCAATTGAAAAGATTCCATGCACGCATAGATGATATTAACAATAATAAAAAGATGACATATCTCATATTAACATCTGTTTTGGCTGCCCGTTAAAATCGAACCGTCTCGGGTATGAAATGACTAATTCAGGGAAAAAGGAATTAATTTGTCGCTGAAAAGTTTCACATAGTAGCTATACAAAAGCTTTTATAAACAGCGCTACCATGTAAAAGTATAAAATCTCGATTTGAAAATGAAATTGAAATCAATTTTTTTCTGAAAACATTTGAAAACTGCTTATACAAAATTTTAAGAGTTAGCTTCTAATCATTAAAGCAGCTTTTATCCAGTGTTTAGACTAAAAAAATGCTAAAAGCAAAGTTTCATATTCAATTAAATTGACTTTATAAATGATTGATTGATGTTATAGTATAAGAAAAGAGTTAAAGACAATCGCTCGCTAGTTTGATCAATGAGCCAAGCGAGAGATGGGTAATAATCCGAAAGGCCATTAGGCCAATTTCTATGACATTTTGACAAAAAGTGGCAATTCAGATCGCTGGGTGCATTGTTTATTTGTCGTCCTGTTCCTCCTGGTCGTTTTCGGCTGTCCAGAGGGAAAGGTTGTCCCGCAGAAGCTGCAGAATGAGCGTGGAGTCCTTGTAGGTGTCTTCCGAAGCCGAATCGAGCTCGGCAATGGCGTCGTCGAAGGCCTTTCGTGCCAGTTCACAGGCGTCCTGTGGGTTGCCGGCGATCTCGTAGTGGTAGACGGAGAAGTTGAGGGCCAAACCCAGTCTGATGGGGTGGGTGGGTTTGAGGTTCTGGGCCACTTTCTCCGCCCACTTGTAGGCAGCCTTAGCCTGCTCACTCATTTCGTCCCTCTTGTCTCCTCTAGACACCTCCACTAGGTACCTAATAACACAAAAGAAAACAATGTACTCACATGACCATATAGTTGCAAATTCAAAAAAAAGTTTGCATTTGCGGCAGTGTTGTTTTCAGAATGCCAACTTCAACACATCAAAGGACACTGGACTTTTATTAAAGGCAAGCTATTTATAGTCACCAGTTGATGTCTGGCTGACGCGAAGGATATCGTTTTCATAACTTTGAGTGCTCCTTATAAGACGCATATTGACAAGTGAGAGGATGAATATGGAAAGTAATTCTGGACTTTCGAAAAGAAAACGAAGACAAGAGCGAAAACAACGGCCACACCAATGATTTTCGACCGTAGTATCATTAACAATTTCAGCATCAGGCGAGGCAAATTAACCTCGCTACACCAAAGATACGACAACCCGGGTTGACAAAAAATGCTAGTCATACAATTCCCATACAGTTTGCCATACAGTTCATACGTTTAAAAAAGTGTATAAAAACTCTATGACTAGCATTTTTTCCATAGTATGGAACTGTATGACTAACATTTTACCATAATGAAACTGTATGGCCATAAATGGGAACTGTATGACTAGCATTTTTTCATAGACAAATTGTACGGAACAGTATGACTAGTATTTTTATTGTATGGCGGTCAACCCGGGAACCTCGTCCTAAGAGCAGAAGACATCGATGCTAAACGAATATTCTGCAGGTAATGCACTGTGTTCTAATTTCCATACTATGGGAGTCGGTATTTCAAAAGCTTTTGGTGGCGTAATAATAGAATAATTTTTATTCTTTTTTTGGCCGCAAAAACTAGTATGTTGTCAAAAAACAATTTCCAACAAAAAAGGTTAAAGTTTCGCTCCCATTGTTTTCCTACGGTAATCCAGATGCTTGAAACTTCCAAAAAAAACACTTCAAAATCAGGTTGTGGCTTGCATTTGAACAAATATTAGGACTTTGTTTTGGAGCAGAGAATATTTGATTTAAAAAACAATAAAATCGGCCGACAAAAATTAAAGCAGAATTCATTTGCACAAATTCTTCAAAATTTTGATTATATTTTGCTGCTTCAGAGCTAGTTTTAAGTCTAGTTTAGCTATTTCCGATTTAGTACATTTCACTAAAAAGTTCAGTGACTTTGTGAGATTTCCAATGTTGTTCTGGTCTATGAGTAGTTTTCATCCAAAGTTACTCTATTTGAAGCGAACAGAGAAAACAGAACAAAACAAGGATAGCCGGTTACTGTGCAAGTTGCGACCATAGTCTTAAAACTGTTGCGGCCAAGGTTAATGTTCCGACCATAGTCTTAAAAAACACAACAAAGTTTTTCAAACTTTCATCGTTTCTTTTCGGCGTGGTGGATTAGGTGTACTCTGGGGATTAGGTGTATTTGTAAAAAACTGGGGATTAGGTGTATTCGTCAGCCATACTAAAATAAGCAAAATGAAAAACAATATTTGAAGAAAAATTACTAGAAAAACGAAAAAAAAATCGCTACCCAAGTAAAACTACGTTTTTACGTTTTAAATTAAGCTCTAATAAGCTTTTAGGCCATAATAAGACTGCTCGTTTCTTTATTCGCTCGAAATAAGACGAAAAACATAAATTTTAAACCGGTTTTTCTCAACACTGGGAAATTCACACAACGCAGTCCGATAACTATTTGTGGTACCTGATCTTGCGTGGAAAACAAAAAGAAAAAAATAAAACACACCCGAATAAACAATTTCCAATGGTCGGAACAACAAATATATTTAGAATATACAAATTGATAGATTATGGAATAATATTATTCACACAATTCTATACAATAAACAAGGATATCCGGTTACTGTGAGAGTATCACAGAATGTTCCGACCAATGATAGTCTTCAGAAAACTGCGGTTTAGAAGTTTTTTTTCCAAAATAGTGTAGTTTTTTCTGCTTGGTGTGATAAAAGGGTCTGACGTTAAAAAAATAACTTAGGCATATTAGACAGTCATAGTAAAATAGGCAAATTGAACAAAAAAATGTAGAAAAATGACAAGAAATCCAAAAAAACGTTTAGATGTTTTTGGTTCCCAAAATGATGCTGAAATTCCAAAAACTAGCTGTACATGCTGAAATTTAAACTTAAAGTCATAAAGTTGGCATAACTCAGCTTGTAAGTCTACATGTTCACGCCATATTAGTTCGAATTTAGACCAAAAGTCAAAAATTTGAAATCGGTTTTTCTCGAAACTGAGAAAAATTTTTGGAAATTTTTTAATGTCGTCGGAATCACGACTGAAGAGGCTTCAATATGATATATCAATCAACCCAGTCCAAATATACCAGCTTTTGTGTTACCTGATTTTGTGTGGATAACAAAAAGACAAACAAAAGCAAAAAAAAACTAACACACACCCGAATACAAAGTTCTTCCCCATTTTCAATGGTCCGAACAAAAAAAGCTATTCAGGCAAATCCAAAGCTTGGAAAATTGATGTTCAAACTAATTATAAAAACCAATGCTGGTTGCTGTTGTTTAAGAATTTTCATCATTCCGAGAACAGTCTGGATATAGACAATTTCCGACCAGAATTCAAATTAGAAACAAAGTTTTCCAAAAAAAACCAATGCTATAATTCAACATTTTATTACGAATTTCTGGCAAAAAAGTTGAAGGAAATAGTATTTTAGCCTAAGATAATAAGCCTGCTCAAACGCTTAAACGCAAATCAAACAATAAAAAATGAATTTTGATCAAAGCTTCATGATTTATGCGTTTGAAATTAATTAGTACATTTCGTCAGATAGTGAAAGTTTTGGTCATACTTTTGAGACTTTGAATAGAACGTAAGAAATGGCATCAAGTCTCATTGGGAAAAATTATCCGCAGAAACGTTGCTGAGAACGAAAAACTAGACTGAAAAGTTTGATTTGATCGATGAATCACCTCATCAAAACTATCAAAATTTAACAACCAATCTTGGGGGGTTTTGATCCCCCAATTGCACATTAGCTTGACAAAAGCGTTAACAACAAGGCCACCTGACCTGATTATTACATATAGCTAACGTAAGCAACCTAATGCATAGAAATAAGTTATAGCAAGTGTTAATTTGCATAGTATTTTTACAACTTTTGTCTATTCTCCAAGCCTGTAGAATCAACGTTTATCTCGTTTCGGTTGAGCGGTGAACCAATTTTAGGTTATATTTTTTAGAATGATAGGTGAGAAATACACAGTTTTTGTTCAGAAAACACAGAAAATAGGGTAAATTGTCTAAATAGAACTTGTATCCAGTTTAGAAGCATGTGCTGTGTATGAGTATGATGCAAGGGAGTTTATAGTCCTCAGTCAGATAGTGAAAACTTCTTTCAAAAAATCTAGTTTGTTTTTTATTAGACCCGGGCCCATCTGATTTCGATTTTTTGTACAAAACTCGAACTGAATGTGATTTTGAAATGCTTATAGCTGCAGTTGTAGAACTTGTTACTGTTTTTTGTAGAACTTTTTGGTGAATGCTGTTTGAGAATAATTGTTTTCTGTTTTATTATTTTTTAAGCAGTACTTTCTGGGTTGCTGTTGATGTTATTGTTTGCTTTTGGTGGTTTTGTTGAGTCTCTACCTGAAGTAATCTCCCTTCATTTTGTAGAAGAAAACAGCACCCTCAACTTTCTCCACCGTGGCTGCATCACTCATGTCTACTTCCGCGAACTCGTCCTGAGGCGGCAACATGTGCTTCTCCAACAAGTCGATGATCTCGTGGCACAGATCGTTCAGCTCTTTCTCTATCGTCTCCCGCATTTCCTTCACAATCGGGCTTTTCCAGTCGTCCGAAATCTTTCCCTCGATACTACACACGAGTCGCCAGGCCGAACGGCGTTGGCCAACTACGTTCTTGTACGCCACAGAGAGTAGGTTCCGCTCCTCTTCGCTCAAGCTACCTCCTTTAGTCTTTACCAACTCTTGCATAATTTCCTTCATCTCTTTGTACATCTCTAGCTGCTCAGCTTCAAATTACATCACCATTACATAATTTCCTATTTTTCCTTTAAATTGCTTGCCTTTTTTGATGAATCGAAATTGTACTTACCCAGTTTTGCTCTGTAAACGGTTTCTTCTGTCATTTTTTTCAAGTAATGAGTTTTTGACTTAAAAGATGGCAAATAATGCAGCTGATTTTTAACGAGAGAAGTTTTCGATAGCTATCGCGTACGTAACCAAGTAATATCGGTTTAATAAATTATAAATGCTAGCTTTTGTATATGGTGCTTATTGGTCATTCGCATAGTTTCAGCATGGCTCAAACTTAAGTTTCAGAGCACAGTACATAAATAAGTCAGCCAACCGAAAAATGTATTATACAAATGCGTGTTTATACTATAAGCTGATTCGAGCTGTTTAGTTTATTTGTTAAGTCACATTGGTAAAAGCGGCACATTTTCATTATTGCTGAAACTACAATCTGGCATTATTTGTCGATTTTATGTTTTTATGAAATGTGTTCCATTTGGCAGTTGTGGTTTTAACTACTGAAGTAATCTTTCATTTTTATGAAAAATATTTAAATACGACAAAATAATGTACGTGTTACGATGTGAAAAAACTTGTCCTGTGAGGGGCGAAAACGCGTGTGATAAAATATCTGAAGTCGTTTGCAGAAAAAAACATAAGACTGTTTTTATTTACTTGATGTTCATATTTGAACGAATTGAGCTTTTCTAGTTTGATGACTGTAAGTTATGAAGAATGGCTAAATATTTGAGTAAAAGAGTTTTTGCAAATGCAAGGACACAATATTCTTTGCTCAAAACAAGCAGTAGAAGGCCCATTTATTTTTCTTATTTCTGTTTCATGTCTTAGAGAAAGAAAACCGAAAATTTGAAAAATCAGTGATGGAAACCACTTGGTGTATGAGAACGTCTTTTTTGTTATGACTATTTTTGGTTTGTTTTAAAGTAGCATGAATTAACCTCAGGAACTTCCATTAACAAAACAAGCATCATTCAAAAAAAAACTCATGTGAAGTTTAAAAATTGTCAAATTAACTCT